GAAAAAGAGGCGGCTTTTCTGCATTAGGTATGTTTTTTTTTTCTTTCTTTTTTTTTACTCTTTGTTCAGCAGTTATTGTTCATTCTAAATAAAAAATTTTATGTAGAATGTGTTACATGAATACATGAAATGTAGAACATATAAAAAAGTGCTTGTGGCTCGTCTGCCAGTGGGTGCCCCCCCACGCATAAAAGTGAAACTCCGCCTATGATTGTGCTGCTACTCCTTTCGAGCCGAAGTTCACAAAATTGGTTATTTATGGGGAGTAGAATTATTTATTTATTTCAATGAATGTAATCGATTAGATATCATAATATTTAGGCTATAATATTATAAATCAGGTCAGTTTGTATTGCTGACGTAATATGTAAATGATATGCGTGCGGCCCGCGAGACTTGCACTTGGACCATAGTGCGGCCCGGTGGAAAAAAAGGTTGAGAACCACTGGTATAAAGTATCTTTTCCCAATATAATCATGTTGTATCCTATAAAATCATTAATTGTTATTATTTTGAACTTATATATATTTTTTGTAAATCTTAAATGAAATATACTATGGCAAATGGAGGTTTCAAAAAGTATTGAATAAAAGGGTACCGTTAATTGTGTCCAATGTCTTATTCTCCAATGAAAGGTTCGATTTTTGTAATTTTTTTAAATAAAAGATCAAAAGGATTAACAATGCAGATTTATTTCCATAGCCTTCTTTGATCATATTTACCAAGGGTACCAACAATTCTGACCACGTGTGTATACATAATAAACTTTTTAAAAACGATATGATTAGTAAATAATAATAATAATAAATGTATAATACTTTCAAAACATACTGAAACTGAAATATAATTTTATAATATCAAATCATTATTATTCAAATATAAATATCAATAAGTATAATACATTTATTTCAATAAGGTGAAATAGATGTAAATAAAAGAAAATCTACAAATAGAATTTTATATAAAATATCTCTCTAAATAGTAATGCAATGTTTTTAGTATATTTTAAATTTTTTGATAGAAATGGAGCATGCATAAACTTAATTTTCACAAACTTCAAAGCAAAATCACAAAAAACTGTATTTAAAAACTATATATACACATACATTTAATAATAATAATGATAAATATGTATAACACTTGCTATAAAAAGATATAAAGCTTTTTAAAATCATGAGAAACATTAATTCAATGTGACCAAACATTTGACTGGTAGTCTATCCAGTGTTTGGATCAGTGACATCTTAAAAATATCTCACAAGAGATGAGGTTTAGAACGAGGGTGATGATCTAACCTGGAAGAATCCGGGGGGCATGGGTCCACCAGGCATGACATCTCCTGGTGGCATGTTCCCAAGAACAGGACTGGGGGCTGCTGCAGCACTCTGTGGGCACAAATCATTAAGAAAAAAAAAAAACATTAGATGGGGGAAAAACACTTGTACATCTTAAGCACTGATTTTTTCCCGCTAGGAAAACAGTTTTATTCCGCAAGTACAAAATGCAGCTTAATGCATTCTAGCACTCATAAATCTGTGCTCTAACAGCAAGCAATAAAGCCAACGGCATAGCCACGACTGACTGGTGTAAAATCCAATTTTAAGGTCTACAAAACCAAGAGGAAAAAAAACTAGGTTTCAGAGCACAACAGGGATTTGATCATGCATATAATGGCAGTGGAAAAAGCAGAGTGTGGTCTGCTGCCTGTCACACTTCAGCCTGAGTTAACAGAGCCAGGCTTTTCAGAGAGCACTGTGAAATACCACAGGAAGGAGGTAGAAAGAAAGAAGAGCAGCTGACCCTGATGGAGCAACACAGATCAGAACCGGCCAATGGGAAGGATCCGCAACAATGGAACAGCTACGCTTTTCATTCAGACTATTCAAGTTCACAGTTCAAGGGCCAAGAGGACTTTTTATTTTTAAAATCAACACAAAATCAAAATCCATCCAAATCACATTCTTAATAATACATATTTTCTGGACATATCATTCACATTCAGTGATGTTATAGTTAACTAAAACAATTTTTTTTTATTAATTAGTCTTCATTTATTCAAATAAAGCTGAAATAAAATATATTCATTACATGAAACATTTAAAGTTTATAAAATATAAAGTTATAAATATAGTTTTAATACGCAAGTATGTCTAAATAGAAATATATATATAAAAAACTAATAAAGTCAAACACACATAACAAAATACTAAAACTTAAGCTAAAATTAAAATAAAAACTGAAAATCTAAAAATAGAACCCAATTCAAAATATGAATAAATACTATAATAGTATATAAATAACATTAAAATAACACCGTAGTACATGTTATTCCAAAGAAAACGAACAAAGTAAAATTCAATCACATGCTCCATTTCCAAAATGACTTTTCTGTTTTGGCTGATGTCACCAAGGCTGCCATTTCCTGTTTCGAAAGGTGAGCGATCCAACAAAATGAAAGGACATTCTGGAACAGAACGCCTATTTTTCATGATCCAATCAACTCTCAATGGATCAAATCAATTTTTGCCCTTCCTCCCCTTGCTGATTGTCTTGTTTCACTCAGAAAATCATATTTCTGAAGTTAAATGGGTGGGAATGTCATTTTATGTCGCCTTAGGATTAGCTAAAATATCTCATATAACCAAGGAAAATCATTCAAGGATGAGTTAAGCCTGCAGGGAAACATTCCTGGTTGTGCTACCCTCATGACAGCCCTCCATCAGCATTCTAACAACATTATATCACTAAAATGCCCTGAAATAACGAAACAAATCCAACACAGTCCTGCTCCGCACAGCTCATCCATCCTCACGCTCCAAGTTCGCTTCCATGCTCCTCGTTCCATCTGTCTCTTCCCTCCTTTTTAATCTGCCTACCGACAGGCTCCATGACAGCCATCAATCACTCTCCATCCCCACCGCAGCCCGAGGGGGAGTGTTTCCCCTGACACAGCATGAAGACAACATGGCCACTGTTTAAAGAGGGCGCAGCCTCCTCCCCCACCCTCTGGAGAATAAGAGAGCACAGACCTGACGCCACGGTCCCAACCACAGCTGGGCACAAAAGGCAGGAGACTGCGGCGATCGCACGATAACTTCAAAACATAATGCCCTATAACACTCCTAAAGATCAAGCTCCGCTGAACATCTGGCTAAAATTCAAATGACGGATAATGTTTCATGTATCCCTGTACAGCAGCATCCTTTCAGATTAGGATGTCTAGACAGAGGAGCAAGGGTTTGATTTTTAGACTCGCTGCATATGCCCTCTGACCTGTGGCCCCTCACTAAAGCTTGCGGCTAGACGACAACAGCCATCTATTATTGGTAGGAGGCTAAAGCTGGAGATTTTGGCCTAAGAGTCACACCATTCCTATATAAGCTGTTGGGAAAACGCATAGAAATGAGATTTAAAGATGCTACAATTTGCATTTCATGCAAAACTAGAACTCAACTTGCCTGAAAATGCTTTAATTGGATTTGTTAGAAACTTCATGCTACTGTAAAGGGCATCTGTCTGCAATTCCATTTTAAAAAGTGCCACGTAACACAATTTTGAAATATCTATCAATAATAAGAAGCTGTCCTGACTTCAATCTTTGGTCACGCAGACCTTGGTTTCCAATCAGCCAAACATCATGTACGTCATGTTTGTCAAAGCTGATCGTCCGAGGCACATACCATCTTTGTCTAGAAGCAGTGATGATTCCATGGAAAACCCTGCTGACATCATTGCTATTGTAGGGGTGATTACTACATCCTTCACACAGGACACTGTATACATTTCCTTATTATAAAACACAAAGACTCTTCCAGAGTCTGCAAGATTCACAGGCACATGAAATGCAGTTTTGTCCTCCAATCTGCATACATTATGGAAACAGTCTGTGCTTTTCTGTACTCACATAGTCATGGAAAGCCTTGGCCTCGCTTGAATGTTCACATGTCTCTCTCCTCTCAGGAGCTGCACAGTAGAGGTCCCAAAAGACACTGGGGTAAAGAAAAGTGGTCAAATAAGCCCAATGATCGGCTTAAAGTAATGGTTTGTGCAAAAATGCATCATTTACTCATCCTCACATCATTTCAAACCTCTACAACTTTTGCTTCAACGGAATAAACAAAAAAAAAATTGTTGGGAAGTTTTCATTGCAATAACAAGGAACCATACAATTTATCAGCTGTGTGTGGTAAAAGATTTTTGGGGAATAAAAACACAAACTTCAGTCTATTTCTTGCATAAACATATGGTTTAAACAATCTAGAGAAAATAGCGCACAAGTTGCATGGACCAATTTTATGATACTTTTGCAAGCTTTTTGAAGCACGACAGCCTCAGTCCCCATTGTTGTAACTGGATGTAAAAGAGTGAACAGTACAATCTTCAGAATTTCTCTTTTTGTGTTCAGTAGAATAAAAACAATTCATACAGGTTTGCAGCGACATGAAGGTGAGTAAATACTGACTGAATTTTCATTTATTGCTCAATTATTCCTTTTAATATTATAAAAAGACAAAATACACTCAAAATACTCACCACCACCAGGAATGTAGGAACCCAGGAGGGTCTCCCAGCGTGATGTTCTTTTCCCATCTGATCTAAAATGGAACAGAAAGTGATCAAATCTTTTTTTTTTAATGCAGTCTATGAGTGCATAGGAAATACCTTTTCAGTTTTAATGTTTGCAACTGTGTGTCTGTTAAAAAAAATCTAAAGTATTCGGGTTCTTACTTCTGACAGGAAAGTCTGCGCTGACTTCTGAGCACCAATGTGTAACAAATACTCATACACATACAAAGCTAACCTGCAATAAGACAGAGAGAATACAATATTAAGTTAATAAAGCAACAATTAATTACATAAAAAGCATAATATCGTTGGTGAGGACAAAATCAAAAAATCAATATTGTGTCACACTCCTCTGATTTATACTTAAACAGTGTCTATAGTAAAAATGAATGTATTATCCAAAGAAAGCACTCATTATATTAACTAAAAATTTGTATAATCATCCATAATTTACATGATCAATTTATTCATGACTTTTTATTATTTATAAACCCCGCACTGAGCAAGGCTGCATCTCAAGAACATGCAAAATGCATAAAAACTAAACAAAAGACGGGACCCACTCCCCTCCAAGACTGGCGTCTAAGGCAAAATGAAACAAGGAACACTGAAGCGCCCGTCCCGCATGTAGAAACTATTTCAAACGGCTACATTAAAATGTAGCTGATTTAAAAAGGCACGGTTTTTATTTTGGATCGCATCATAATAACCAGAGACGAAAGCTCTGTGCCACAGGGGGACCCCAGAATGGCGCACGTACAGGCACTTTCGATTCAACGCTCTCACGACAAGCCTATAGCAGCAGCATACGCTCCATAAGCAGCCGTGCCTATACTGCCCTAACAATAGGCTACATCCAACACAATAACACACGCACGACGGGCGATGCTCAAAAGACCTTACTTTTCCCGAGCTTGACCATCCGATGGCACGACGGAGCTTTTGCCTTTAGGAAACATGTTTTTTTTGTGCACGGGAGAGTCGCCCGCGTTCCCTTTTCCTCTATTTTCGACAATTCATCTGTCACACTGCTCCAGGTTCGACTGCACAAACTAAACACACTGACGCCTTCTCAACCAACCTTGACCACTGGGGCGGGGGGAGTGGTGTTGTTTGATTGACAAGGGCAAGTGACCAATGGCAGGGCGCCATTTCTCTTGCGTGATGCCCTGCAGTGACGTAACCTCGGTGACCAAATAGTTCCTTCCTCCAATTTCCTGTGATTCTTTAAAGATGGGTTGCATTAAGCGCGCCACATTAAACGGCTACATTAAAATGTAGCTGATTTAAAAAGGCACGGTTTTTATTTTGGATCGCATCATAATAACCAGAGACGAAAGCTCTGTGCCACAGGGGGACCCCAGAATGGCGCACGTACAGGCACTTTCGATTCAACGCTCTCACGACAAGCCTATAGCAGCAGCATACGCTCCATAAGCAGCCGTGCCTATACTGCCCTAACAATAGGCTACATCCAACACAATAACACACGCACGACGGGCGATGCTCAAAAGACCTTACTTTTCCCGAGCTTGACCATCCGATGGCACGACGGAGCTTTTGCCTTTAGGAAACATGTTTTTTTTGTGCACGGGAGAGTCGCCCGCGTTCCCTTTTCCTCTATTTTCGACAATTCATCTGTCACACTGCTCCAGGTTCGACTGCACAAACTAAACACACTGACGCCTTCTCAACCAACCTTGACCACTGGGGCGCAAGGGGGGGGGGGGGCGATTGCGTTGTTTGATTGACAAGGGCAAGTGACCAATTGCAGGGCGACATTTCTTTTGCGTATGCCCTGCAGTGACGTATGTTTTCCTGTGATTCTTTAAGTTGGGTTGCATTAAGCGCTCCACATTAATTAGCACTGTATTTGTTTACTGTGTTGCCTTAATGGATTCCGTGCTATAATAGTAAAACTGTGAGAAATAGCAATACAACAAGGGAATTAAGCTGAATTATTCTCTTATATATTATTATGGCTTGGAAATGATTGAAATAGTCTTTATTAATTACAAATAATAATAATAATAATTGTAACGTAAAACACACTATTAGACATAGGTTCATATTTATTTGCGTTCTTATTTACCTCTAAAGTTATTTATATACAATGCACTTTTCATCAGCGAGAGTAATCACATTCCCACTCTTTGTAATACATTTAGAAATGCAATAAATTTAGATTTAGAAATGCTTTGAAAGCAATTACATGGGGTAAGAAAACATGTTTTGGCTACGGGTTGTTAGGGGTTTCTTAAGCAACTTCTTAAATTAACTAAGTGATTAAAAGCCTACACGCAGATTATTTTTTGTTTCTTAAAAAAGTTCTGTAATAGAGAAATATTGTTAGCTTATTCCACACTAATTCCATAAGCGCAGAGTTGACCTTGTGTAATGGAATCAGCCTACCTTAAAACAGTTTCTGGGCGGCACTGTAACTTCATTGGGCTTATGCAAACAGTCGAGCGCAGTGTGGACACTTTTGTTTGACTGGGAATATGAATGTCTGTTTATTTATTTTCATATATCTTGCAAAGATACATCACGCAGATATTGTTTCTTTCTTCGCGCAAATGAGAGTGGTTTGACATCTATTCGTGTAAGTTTGCTCATTACTTTTTTGTCATTAGCCTGCCCAAGTAGGCTAGTATTTTATTTCTGACGCATTTAACACTTGGAATGTCACAGAATAACCTGCTGTGCAAACTTTAGAAAAACCTCATCATCCATTTTACATTAAAATCAGCAAAGGCATGCAACGTAATGTTCTTGTAAAATATATCGTCGTAGCCTACTGTCTTTTTTCTTTTATTAGAAAAATATATATTAAGATGCATAACCAATAACTTACTCTTTAACAACTTTACATAGTCTTATAACTTATCTGCACTGCAGCTCATAGCAATGAAAACTATGTGAGTAGAATGATGCCAGTCCCTGCTGGAACAGGTTCCATTACTTCACTCCTAACTTCAGGTCTGACACATGACAGGTTTTTGAAGTGGAAATGGACAGGAGTTGCGCTTTGGTGCTGAATAACAGCACACTGATTATATGACTGGTTATGTTTTTATGCTTGTTAATTCCACCTGGAAACTAATGGAATGTGAGCTGTAAATGTAATATGTTCTGTAGTTACGTGTCACTTAATAGCCGAACTTTTTGACTGAGCACCACAGGCTTATTCCAGTTACAAACTGAAACGAGTTAAGAGTATTGATCGAAATGGCACGTCGTTTTTACAGACAAAAAAGGCATTGCCCTGTATATAATCTGGCACCTAGAAAATAAACATTGCAAAACACACATCATGGGTGATCCCATAATTATTCTTGATGTTTTAAATGATCTCTTATGATTTTGTTTGATTTACATGAGTTTTATTCATAATCTCTTCTCATAGGCTCTGCAGCACAGTAATTCCAAAAGGAATTTTCTTAGATTATAAATCTGTTGCAAGTGTTGCACTTTCAAGTACACTTATTTTTGAACTGAATTGGTGGATTAATCCCGTTTGAATTGACTCAAGATTGCTGTGGCTTATGAAAACAAGCTAAATGGACAGACCACATTATGTAACATGCATTTGAAATCACATATGATCACATTTAAGGCTTAAAAAGAAATATGAGCATGTGTGATGACTTCATGTGCCATGACTGCACCAGGAGTCCTGTGAAGATGACAGCAGTTACCTGTCCTCCTGTCCTAATATTCATGCACATTCTTATACAAGGCCACTTTATACAAATGGTTGTGACCTAAAAGCTAAATTTCCTGACCTTTTGATTTCCACCTTCTGATATCCTTCAAGACAGTGATATTCTAGCTTAATGCTCTTATGCTCCAATGCTAATCATCACCAAATATGCACACAAATAAACATGTAAAATGTAGGTATGTTGCTCCAACAGAGCCCTAGTCATGGCGAATGAGCCCAGGGATAATGTGCCGCTGGAAGAGCCCATGTTTATTCTGGAGAATGGGGAGATGTGCAGGAACCCAACTGAAGTAAAGATGAGTCAGATAGTCCTTCCCTGCCATGCAAACTACTGTGGAGAACTCAGTGCTGGGCAGCTGCTCAAGTGGATGGACTCCACCGCCTGCCTGTCTGGTCTGTTTTGAATGAAACAAACATTTATTTATTAATTAAATTATTTTCTCAAATTATCCATGCCAGCGATCCAGTAAAACTACTTCAAGTTAAGTTAACACTATAGAATACTCTTTTAAGGTGATTTAATTTCACTCTGAATCATTGTTGTCACCTTCAATGTTCATGGAAACACCTCCACACCATATGCTTGTACTAAGTGTCATTAGACATCACAGATGGAGGAGTCTGTGCAGTTTGGACTGTGATTTCCATCCTCTTATGTGAATAAACAGAGTAACGGGCTGGTGAGAAAGTTTAATAGTTGGAATGATTGTTAATCGTATTTAACTGATAAAAGGCAAAAGCATTTCAGCTGAGAATGTGGCTAAACCTTTGTAGCACTGTGAAGAGCACAGATGGTGGTTGGTAACAGCTTTGCATGCGTCCCTTAATGTTGCTTAAAATAAGCTGAGCAGGCCTGTTTGTTTTTCACTTCGTTCTGTAGCATGGAACATTTTCAGGAATACATACTTATGTGTTTGCTTTTCAGATGAACGTGCTTAAATACTTACTATGGGTGTAAACATGCATTAATTATCAATATTTTCTCACTTGTTTCCAGCTGAGAGACATGCTGGCTGCTCCTGCATCACAGCCTCAGTGGATGACATTCACTTTATAACCACCATAGGGTAACAACATTTACAGGAACTAGTTATTTTAAATTGAAACAAAAAGTTTTTGTTCATTATAAAAACGTGTTGCTCTGTTTCTTCAGGGTCGGACAGGTTGTAAACATTACAGCCAAAGTCAACAGAGCTTTCACATCCAGCATGGAGGTTTGTGGGAATATCTACTACTATTTATCTAGTGAAATGCATCACAAATTAGTGAGCACTAATAATTTTATTATGTGAAATAAAACACGTATTGATATTATTAACATGCAGAATTTTGGTTATTGATTAATCCACAACCAAACAAATTTCACATTTCTGCGTTTCACTTCTGCTCTAGCTTGTATGCTAATCTAGTTTACCCCTACAAAACAAAAATATATGGGAATATAATAGAAAATATAATGCAATCTATTTAATAATACATTTCCATATATGGGAAACGTCTAGGTTACTTGTGTAACCCTCGTTCCCTGAAGGAGGGAACGGAGACGTTACGTCAGTGACTGACGAATTGGGATCTCGCCCGAGAGCCCAATCACCTTCGAGTGTTAACTAAACAAGCCAATGACAGTTGGCGTGCGTGTTTCGCCACGCGCACCCCGCCCCGCAGCGCGGGTATAAAAGGAGAGCGCGTGCAAACGCACATCAGCTTTTCGCTTCGGAGCCGAGCCTTCTTCAAGACGAATCTCCGCGAGTGTTCGAGAGAAACAGCTGGCGTTGGTGTGACGGCGTATCAGCGGGGGTTGCCATCCAGGCTGCTGAAACCTC